TCTTTGGTCTTGTCATATGAGTTGTACAATTGTTCCTTCGTATAATTACGGTAATAGCAATTATTGTGTAATGTAATGATAAAATGTATATGTATATAAATAATGTTTCCATGATTTTTTTAATAAATTATTATAATAAATAAAGTTTCTATTGGATTGATTATTTAATAAATAAAAAAAAATTTAAAATTGAACGTGAAAAAAAAATATTTGTTCCCTTCACAAAGTTTACTTTTAATAAAGTTCGAAATAATGTTCAAAAAATTACATCTGTAGTATGTTAAAATTTAATAAATGAGTATTATTTATTTAAAAATATATTATTGTATGGTTAAAAATTCAAATTGTAGATGTATTCACATTAAAATATTAAAAAACCAGACCTCTACATTAGATGTATGAACATGATAGTAATGTTTATAGTATGTAGAAGGCAAAGCCTCGCGCTTGTATTTATAGCGATGCTTATAATCGTAGGCACGATGCTTGAATTTTTTATCGTAATGATAATCGTCGTCGTATTTGTTGTAGTATTTAATGTAATGATAATTTATACATTCATCTTCAGCTACAGGGGCGGAATTAGCTAAAGAAAAGTTTTTTTTAGAAAATATGGTAAAAAAAAAGGGTTTTTTTATTATTATTATTATTATTATTATTATTATTATTCATACTAATTACCTTCTTGAAAAGTAGTAGTTCCTAAAATAACTGATAATAAAATCAGTGTATTTAATTTCATTTTGAAAAGAATTATTTTTATTATTATTATTGATGATCTTTTTGTTTTAGATCGAAGTGAAAATTCTTCTTGGAGGTGAAGAGGAGGGTTTATATTAACTTATTCACTTATGAAGTTCCTTTGAATGGAAATTTTCATTTCGAAACTTATCATGAATAATGTCTTTAGGTTAATTCATACTTATTCATACTATATAAATCATTGGACTGGAAAAAAAAAATTTCACCGATTTTTAAAAAATTTATTCATACTTTTACAAAAAAAAAAATTGTTTAATTAAATGGAGATCCTTTGCGAAAACCAAAAATATACACGACTAAGCCCACATTGTCATAGACTGGTTATGGATCATGATTGTATGGTCAAGGTAATGATCAAAAATCAAATATATACAAAATCCAAATAAATACAAAATCTGGTATGAAATCATGAATTTCTTTACCAACACTTTTTTTTAATTCCCTTTTTTTTTTTTTTTTTTAGTAGAATACACTTTATAATAAAATATATAAAAAAAAAAAAGAGTTAAAAAATCATATATTTCAAATTTACAATTCTAAAGCACACCTCTTCCTGTATTACTTTGATCTTTTCTTTCAGACCATTTTTTAAATATTTTTTCCAACATTTTTAAACTAACTGGTTTAGTCAAGAAGCCATCGACACCGCTCTCAAAAGCAATGTTTTTATCTTCTTCACTAGCTAAACCGGTTAAAGCAAATATTAAAGAACGAGAAGAATGAAATGTTGAGCGTTGTAAGGGGGAAGGTAATGGAGATAACTCTGCTTCAGTCATTTTAGATTCTAATAATGGCGGTGATAATTTAGAAGGATTAGATTTTTCATTAAATGAATTATAATTATAATGATGAGATAGTCGATCGGGATGTGAAATTCTTCTATATTTATTCTTTTGTTTTTGTGCGTTTGCACTTAAATTATTGTCTGTGCTTTGAAATGGTTTTGAAGGGTATCTATTATTGTTAATGAATGAAGAAAAACCTGAAATAGTAGAATCGTTGGTAGCAGGAAATTGAGAGAAAAGAGGGGGAGTCATCGAAGGGGTTGAAAAGTAATCTTCTTGTTCTGGCAATGGTGTCTTGGGATGTTCTGACATAGGTGATAATTTTGGAAGTTGTTTTTGACTAATTTCATATTCAATTTTACGTATTTCGGCTGTTGCTACGTTACCATTCATGACGGGCATTTGTATATCTATTTTTTTTTTTAAAAAAACAAAATTAATAATTTTAAATTAATAAAATAATCTTTTTAAACAAATAAAAAGCAAAAAAAAGTTAATAATGTGTGAGATTTTATTACCCATAAGAACAATGTCAAATCCTTTTTGTTTAGGATTATCTTCATCCAACGCTCTTCTGAATTTTTCAACACCAATCGCACCGTTTTCAGCCTCTTCAAATTTAATATCGCGTTTGTTCAAAAACGTAGCTAAAATCATTCTATTAACAGCATTATCCTCGACCACCAAAACTCTTGGTCCGGAAGTAGATAGCTTAGATAAAAATGACGTGTTGAGGGAATTATTGGACCGAGATTTTTTCAATTGATCTAAAGTAGTATCTTTCTCACTAGAAAATGTGCTTGGTAATGAGGATGATATTAAAGTCGTGTCTTCATTTGAAAAAGAAATAGGTGGTGATGTAGTCGATTTGGGAATTGTTAAGAATTTGGGCTCACAATTTGAAGGTGATTGTAAGTGAATGTTTGGTAATGTATTAGAGCGATTGAAAGAAGGTCGTGAAGGTAGTACATTTGAAAGCTGTGATGTCAGCTCAGTTGAACGATCATCAAATTTGATGATAACTTTTGGAGTTGTGGGAGGAGTAATCGAGGGAGATCGTTGTCTCGAAATTAATGTTTCTTCCGAAGAAGAATAATTAGTATGATATTTTAAATTATTATTATTTGAAGCTGTTTTCATGACCTGTCGCTGTGAATCATCATCCAAATGTTGTACTGAACTCAATTCTTCGGCACCGTTATCATCACGTTGTAAATTTGAGAAAATAGAAACCATGGTGTTTTCTATTTTATGAGGACCACAAGGTCGTGAAAGTATCACAACCTTTCGTTTCCTCCTTCCGCCTTTAAGATTTATTATATTTCCTCCTTCTTCATCCTGTAATTTCTCAACAAAATCAGCAACTTTACCGTGCTTAGCCAAGGAAGTGACAAACACCACAGGAGATAACTTGGGACCAACTTCAGACAATATTCTTTTTAGTTGAGCAAGATCATTATTAATAAATATAATATCACCATCAATATCACCACCATTTTCTTCAACAATAACATTTTTCACTTGAAACCAATCAGTAAAATATTTTTCTACCACTTCTTTAAGTTTACCCTTGGCGCATTTAATTACGATTGTTTTTTCCTTTATTGCCTCAAGAATAGTTCGTCGCTGCTCTTCTTCATCCCTAACGACATCATCATCATCATCATCATCATCATCACCATCTAAAGGTTCATAATTTAAGCCACCTTTATAAGATATACTTGAACCCTTTTCAATTTTTGATGGAAATTGTTCAAAATCCAACCAAATCCTAACCCTTGTACCAACTCCTACTTCGCTCTCGATATCTAATCTACCACCCATCTTCTCTACTAATAATTTAACAATAGATAGTCCTAATCCGGTTCCTACTTGTAGTGAATTTTCCTGAGAAAATGGTTGAAATATATTTGTCGTTAAAAATGATGGAGAAATACCACGTCCCGTATCCGTGATCGTTAATAATGCATGAAATTTTGATTGGAAATCCCTTTTATGATTCTTATATTGTTCACATAATGATGAACATGGTACTGTGGCTAATGATATTAGCACATAACCCTGTTGCGTAAATTTCAGTGAATTTCTATGTAAGACAAAAAAAAAATTTAGAATAATTAACTTTTTTTGACATTAACGCATTATGAATGTACACTCACCCAACAATCTTTGAAGAGTAAGGTCAAAGATAAAAATAAAAACAATAATAAAAATTAGCATAATTAATTTTAAAAAAAATTTCAATGTGCGTTTAACAAAAGATGCTATAACTTACATTCATTAACATTTGTTTTATGGCTCCATCATCAGCACTAACGTACCAACCAACATCCCTAGGCTCAATCTCAAGCAAAACCATGACGTCTTCAATTTGTTCCAAGGAATCACTTTTATTTTGATGCTGAAATTGATGAGGGTGTAGTAATCTAGAAACATGTTTCCTTCTTGCCTGTGTTATAGCAGCGGAATTATGTTTCTTCTCCTTCTCTGTACGAAATAATTCATCGTTATCACCCTTATTAAGGGAATAATTATTACTACTGTAAACGGCAGCAACCATTTGTTGGCCTACTACGCAAGCTTCAGCAACTTCTTCCAACAACTTGACTAAATTAACGCGGTCCTTCTTCCTTTTGTTATTAATATTACGATCAATGATATTAATATCACGTTGACTTTCGTCCTCACCCAATATTTCACTCCCTTCTTCAGAAACTTTTTCTTGTAAAGGATCGTCATCAGCGAAGTCTTGTTTTTCACTTTCTAATTTAGCAAAGTCCAATACGCTATTAATAATACTAATTAAAGAAGTCCCACAACCGTGTATGGTTTTAATCAATTCCGATTGGGCATAATTTAATTTACTTTCTTCCAATAACTCACAACTTGCTAGAATACCATGAAGAGGGGTTCTTAATTCATGAGAAATAGAAGAGATGAATGTACCTTTTGCTCTATCGGCGACGATCACCCTTCTCTTTAACACTTCACTAACGACGTTCACACCAAAATTACTTAAATAAACTCGTTCTTCATCTTCAAATTGTCTCAGAGGATCTTTTGTCATTGCAATTAAGAAACCAAAAGCATTTTGTGAATCATCATAAATAGGTACCACAATACCAGAATGAACATCATCCGGAAATAAGGTCGGTAAAGGAGGTAAGGCGTTTTGATAAATATAACCTTGCGAATAATTTTGCATCATGTAAGAAAGGAAAGAAGTATTCACCGACGCTGTCAACGCCTCAGAAGACAATTCGATTGGACCAGCGGAAGCAAGGAACTTTAAATATCTTGTTGGCATATCAGGAGGAGGACCATTTAAAAAGAATCCATTTGATGAACAAGCAGTTGATATTATTGGACTAGAAGGCATCTCTAATAAACAAACGAAATCTATATTTAAAGTATCCCTCATTAATTTAACAGCCATGCTAAAACATCGCTTCATGATAGGGTCACCGACAATATTGGTGTTGGAACTTAATTTATTTTCTTCATTATTGGATAATTGAGTTTCCAAGCAAAATTTACTGAAATCGGCAATACTTTGTTGCATTTCATTCCTTACACGTAAACGTAAAGTATCAACCCATAATTCTAACTCCCTCATGACAACTTTTGCAAAGTCTTTCAAGATTTCACAATCCTTATTAGTGAAATCATGCCTTGGTTTATCATCGATTAAACATATCGTACCGATATTATGACCGTCTTCAGTTTGTAATGGAGCACCAGCATAAAATCTTATGAACGGAGAACCTGTGACCAAAGGGTTTTTGTGAAATCTCCAATCCAATTTAGTATCAGGTACAACGAATGGTTCCCCATTCTCTTGTAATATAGCATGTCCACAAAAACTTATTTCTCTGGTCGTTCCATTACATCCTAATCCATCCTCTGCTTTAAACCATTGATGAGTGGTGTTTACAAGTGAGATTAGCGATATTGATACTTTAAAATGTTCTTTTGCTAATGCAACGATACGGGTAAAATTAACATCATTTGATGTGTTGAGTATTTGAAATTTCCACAACGCTCTCCTACGTCCAGCTTCATTTGGAGGCATAGGAGGAGGTAGGTAATAAATCTCGTCATCATCATCATCATCATCATCAGAGCTGAATTCATTACTATGTACATATTGGTAATCATCTTCTTCTTCTCCTTTTCCTCCTCCTATCACTTCCTCACCTTCATTTCCACCTTCATTTTCACCTTCGTCATTATTTCTTTCCCCTACTCCTTTGACAAAAAAATTTCGAATATTCGTATCATGCTCATTAAACGAATATTCTTCCATGTGTTGAGCGTTACTATTTCTCCATTCATTATTATCAAAATCTTTATCACTTATAATATCTTTAACATTATCAGGGGTTATAGTTTTATCATTATTTTTTTCAATTTCGTTATCACTTTTTAATAAGGCTTCAGTTAAAGAATGATTTGTATCATCCAAATTACACTCTGTATTTAATGGACTAGTGTGAATGCTCATTTTTCTATAATGACTAACATTTTTATTTCTTCTATGAAGATTTAGTTTCGTCGGTTTCTTTGGTATAATTAAAGGATTAAAATTTCCTCGTGCATAAGAAAATAGGAAAATTTTCCAAACATTTGAATTATCTCGATCAAATTGTATATCAGAACCGGGTGATGAAGCTAATAATGATACAGTCGAAGATGAAGGTGTTGCTGGAATTGAAATCGGTGCAAGTGGTTTTGTTGTAGTTGGTGTTGGTAAGGAAAAAGAATTTTTATGTTGAAGATCATCATCGTTCATGCGATTTAAATTTAATAGTAAGTCATCATGTAGGACTGCGGATGCTGCGGGATTGACCGCTAAGGAAGTTTTTAATGTTGATGAACCTGATTTGTATTGAAATGTTTGATAAGTTAATTCAATTCCATCATCAAATACATCATCATTTGTTGAATTTTTTTTTACATTGTTAATATCGATACTATTTATTTCAGTAATTGACTCGTCCTCTCGGACGAATGCTTGCCATTTTCCAACTTCATAATATTTGTCCGGATTTTCAATCAAGTTTAATGGTGAGAAGTACGATGAATTTAATGAATATGAAAAAGTAAGAGATGGACTTGGTGAAGATGTTTTTATAATCATTTTTTATGAATTTCGATTATTTTTTTTGTTAACAAAATATATAAATTCGATGTAAGCGGGAGTGGTCCTTTTTTTTTTTTTTTAGAAGACGAAAAAGTTATGATAAAATTTTTTAATTGTTTAATTTTTTGATAACAGAAAAAAAAGAAAAATTTGTTAAAAAATTTATACAATTCGTAAATTTTTTTTTAATTAGAGATGGGGATGAAAAAAAAAAAAAATAAAAAATAAAAAAATAAGTGGAGAAAAGTTAAAATTGTCAAATTATCACTATTTATACTTTACTCAGCACCCTCAAGTTTCAGCCGGTTAATAAATATGTTTTCTGCCAATTGATTTGTTTATTTGTAGTAAAGTGATGCAAAAGGAATATTTTAGATAAAAAAAAAAAAAAAATTATAAACAAGTTAAAATACATAATTTGAAAAAAAAAATTTTATTAAATACATAAATAAATAAAACGTCTATATATATATATATATATATATACATGTATAAATGAATATATATTTATATAAATGTATTAATGTATATTGTATGTATAAAAGAAAATCTTTAGAATTGTATAATAAATACGTTCATGATCGATCCTTGTTCGAGGAAAAGATTTGGTTAACCCGTGAAAATATTTTGAATTCATACAAATGAATAACTAATTATTTGCATCAAAATCCAGGCGCACGCGTTGTTAAAAGGGAAAATAAAATAAATGTGATACACCTTAATTACTAAATTTAATGAATTTGTGTAAAATTAAAATAAGTATTACTAACCAAACTTATATATATGCGGAATAGAATTTAATATATGTACGTGAATTACACGAATAGGTGACAAAGGAAAAATCATTGGAACCAATGAAATACCAACCTGAAGGTTTTAAGTTTTACGATCTTAACGGAAGATTTGAAAATAAATAAATAAATAAATAAATTAATATTTTTTAATTTGTTTAATTTTGTTTAGATTCATAAAATATTCCGTATGACCAGGAAAACAATTTTCCCGATGTGCGGAGTTTTCCGATATGATATGGTAAATTAACTAATAACAATTCGTAATAGTCATTATGTTATACCAAATTCCTTTATAATCGACCCTGTTCGCGTTTTATCGGATTTGCATTTCAAGTTGCCATCAATTTTTATTACACGGTAGAATTACGGCAAAAATGTTTCTCTCACAAATTCTAAATACATGTGGTTTCCTGATTTGTGTATTTTAGCGACAAAAAGAAAATAAAAAAATAACGGGATGAATCCATAGAATTCACTTGTAAAAGATTATAAATGTTATATGTATACACTTTTTCTTTTTATTTTATAGGTAAAAAGATAGGGAATCGTGGATTTGCATGTTCAAACCACTCCAAGAGATAATCTCGACATCTTTTATTTTTATCGTAAATTTAAAAAGTTAGCTCCTTTCTAAATTTATAATGGATTTTTTTAATCCTTGGCAAATTGGTTGCTCAAAAAGAAAAAAATTTTCTTTTTCGGTAAGATCCTTTAATGCAATGTGAAAATTATTCGATGGATAATCAATGCGTCTATTGTCTGTAAGGTTAATCTTGGCCGGCATTATGAATTTTGTCAAGTACCAACCACGTTACACGAAATTTATAATACCACGGGTCAATCCGCTCGGGCCCCTATTAAGTTAATCCCTCCATATTCGAACCATTTCATTCAATGATTTCTCTGATTTTTTTTTTTTTTTTTTTTTTTTTTTTTTTTGCAAAAATAATTTATCTGGTCCATGCAACGTACCGCGTCGATTATAATTAAGCATTTTGGTTTATTTTATTAGAAGGTCAATATTTAAGTTAATCATGCCTTTGATGCAAGAAAAATATATACAGTAAAAAGATAACAAAAGTACGACTTGATAATAGGAATTCGAACTTACAAAAATTTTAATTATGTTGGACTAGACGCACGTGTAGCTGACATCGTTGGAATTGTATTATTTTTTGAACCATTAGTCACGTTGATCCCTTTGGCCTCAATAGCGGGACATTACGCTGGAATGAATGATGTTAAATTGGCAAATACTTATTATGTTGCGCATTACCTAGCTTGGGAAATTATATATCTTACAGTATTAGCATATTACTGGTACAAGTTTACATCTATGATCAAAGAACATATTAAAGTATTAGAAGAACGTGAAGCTTTATCGAATATATCAAACGAGGTACCAGAAATGTAAGTATCAAAAATAAAAATAATTTTCTTTTTAAATTTTGATTTGATGAATTAATTTATTTAATTTTATTATTGGATTGGATATGTTACTGGGTTCAGTGTTGAAAGTAAGTACAGTCAACTCTCTATAAATGCACCATCTATAAATGCACAACCTTTATAAATGCACCTTTTTATCTGGTCCCAACTTGGGCCTTAGTGCTAAATGCACGTTTTTTATATATATACTCTCTGTAAATCCACTCTTTATAAAAAAATTTTATATGGTTTACTTATAAATTTTTTGTATTACCTTAATTTTAGATTAATATTATATAGATTTATATATATTCTATAAATGCACACCCTTTTAAATGCACCCTTATATCTAGTCCCAAGGGGAGTGCATTTATAGGGAGTTGACTGTACTTTGATTTATCTGTAAGTGTTCATGTAAAAAAAAAAACAATGAGAATTTCATATCATAATTTAATTATTTTTATTATTATTTATAACAGTGTTATAAAGAATTTAAGGAAGCCATCAGGCTCTTCTAATAAATCAACATCATCATCTTCTTCACAATCTCAATTAAACTCGAAAACACTCATCAGTATGGAAAATCAAGCAATTAATAATACAAATAAGAAATTGAATATTACTGTCAACAAAGCTACTGCGACGGTTATTCATCGCACTTCTGAAATTACTGAAATTACTGTAGTCGAAGATAAAGAAATACATTGTAATTTTTTTTTTTTGCTATGGTAGAGTCATATTAATTAATGATTGACGTACAGTACGTAAATGATTAAAAAAGAATTGGGACATTAATAGATGTAATTAAAAATTATCTCGTAGTTAGACTTACAATAGATAATGAAAGACCAATCACATTATTTATCCTTGAACCTTTGATTCATCGTCATCGTAAGGTGAAGAAATTTGTTTTTATTTAAAAAAAAAATGTGCCCAATATTTTTTGGGGGGTAATGATATCTATCCATTGATATATTGATAGCTATTTGTTTTCCAATTAAATTGTTTAAATTTTCTGCTTGATTATTGCCAAGGTAGTTTTATCTGATCTTTGAATGCAAGAAAAAATCGTTTTTCTAGAGAAAGACGATATCCAAATCGAAAAAAAAAATTTCATATAAACTTAAACATTTCCTCCCAGTATTTATTTTTTTTTAAAAAAAAAATGAACGTTATAACGATTTAATGAATACACTTTGAAAAATCTGGGACTAGCCGAAATTTATTGAACGTAACCTTTCTTCATTTGTTAACGAGAAAAAAACCTGTAAGGTAATATAAATTTAGATTATATATACGGCATCAAATCATAAATTAAGAATTAATGATTATCTGATACTTCAATATCTTATACTGACGTAACTTACTCCTTTCTGTGCATTTATCAGCATACCAAGCAACTAAGAATCTTGGAATCTCGTCAGACATATTAATAATTTTAGTTACTTAAAAATATCTAGAAAATAAAAGGAATTTATAGTTTGACTTTTAATATTGTTTCTTCCATTCCTGTGCTCTGTACTAAATTCGATTCCAAGAGTCGAGTCTAAAAGATCATCAAATTTTTTCTTAATATCCAACGGAGTGTCTTTGATGGAGGGAGATTTCCTGGAACTTTTTCTGTGAAACTTCCCACTCAATATAAACTATTTGAAACTTTTCGACATTTTGCATACAGTTTTTCGACATTAATTTCTGGAAATTCTTTACCAAAGAAAACATCGCCGTACATTAGCAGTTCTTTTTTGATCAGCATTATAGGTCTTGAAAATCCTAATTTTTCGCAAAAATCTTTCCAAGCTAGGCCTTTAACCTTCAATTTCTTATATTGATTTCCACTTGGTTTTTGTTACTTTTCGTTATAAACTCGGCAAAAGATTTACATTCAGGGTTATCATGATCAACAATTTTCAGACGTAACCTCTTTTTGATAGTTTTAAAATACTCCATCAATAGATCTTAACAAAAATGGACAATGTTTGATCACTCCTTTTTATGATATAAAAATGTAGATCAGTAGGAACCCATAAACGATTTTTTTTTTTCCAACCAAGCAAATTTAATTTGTTCGACATAAATGAAAACAAAATATATTATATATCATATATATTACAAGAGAACGAATGAAATCGTAACAGATAAACAAACAAAACGGTGTGATGATGCAACTTTTATTACACAATAAGCAATTCACCAGATTAGACCAATCAGAGATTTTCAATTACATTGGTATTTCTTTATTATAAAAAGCGGTTATCCATTCTTGTACTTGATTTAGGGAACTGAGATTTATTTTTTAAAATGAATCTTTACCATTCTCTTAAACACAATTTTTAAACAATTTCACACTTGAAGGAACGTGATGTACTCTCAATTTTTAAAGTCGCTAGTAAAGAGATTTTACGATGAACTTGTCAATAATGCGGGTAATTTTGACGATTCAATTGAAAATGATTTAAAGGATTTGCTTAGTGAAGAAAGTAAAAATACCAAAGAAATTCTTGAATTTATGCAAAATCATGAAAATCGTGAAATTTGGTTTTCAAGTATCATTGGTTTTTTTTATCAATACGGAATAGGATGTGAAATTGATAAGGATAAATCCTTGGAATTGTATTTATTAGCAATTAAACGAGATGAATTTCAATACATTAATAATATTATCGCAAAGTATTTATTAGCATTATTTTATTACAAAGTTATCGATTTAGATAAAAGATCCTCAAACGATTGGAATCTTTTACGCACAGCACAATTAATAGATGATTATATAGACACACAAAGACATTCCGAAAATCTCAAAGAATTAAAAGGAATCATAATTAATAGTTTAGAATTCATCAAATTAAAGGGAAAAGATATAAAAGAGTCTCATGAACAAACATTAAATATTGATGACCCAGAAGCATTACGTGACCTTGGGTTGAAATATCAGTATGAGACAGGAGTGAAAAAAAATGAGAAGAGAGCGTTTGAATATTATTTGAAGTCTGCTAAAGGGGGAAATTCGAATTCTCAGTTCAATTTAGGAGAAAGTTATTATTATGGTATAGGAACGGATAAAGATGAAAAGAAAGCATTTGAAAGTTATTTAAAATCTGCCAAAGGAGAAAATTCAGATGCGCAATATCAATTAGGCCATTTTTATGAATATGGGATTGCAACCATTAAAAATGAGGTTCAATCATTAGATTGGTATTTAAGATCTGCTAGAGGAGGGAATTCCATTGCACAATATAAGTTGGGATATTTTTATGAATGTGGGATCGGGTTAATTAAAAATGATATACAATCATTTCAATGGTACTTGAAATCCGCGGAAGGAGGTAATATCTATGCACAATACAGATTAGGTTACTTTTATCAATATGGCATTGCAACGATTCAAAATGAAGTTCAATCATTTGAGTGGTATATGAAATCCGCGGAAGGTGGTAATCCTATCGCACAATATCAATTGGGATATCGTTATCAATATGGTATCGGAACGGTTATGAGTAAAATTTTATCATTTGAATGGTATTTGAAATCTGCGAAGGGCGGAAATATTATCGCACAATTCCAACTAGGAAATTATTATAAATACGGTATCGGGACGAGTAAAAACGAAAAGAAAGCTTTTAAATGGTATTTGAAATCTGCTAATTGGCATTCTGGATCACAAAATTCTTTAGGAGATTACTATGCAAAAGGGATAGTAACGGCTAAAGATGAAGAGAAAGCATTTGAATATTATTTAAAATCTGCAAATGATGACAATTATCAGGGACAATATAATGTGGGAAAATGTTATCAATTTGGCATTGGAATTAAAATGGACATTGAAGAAGCTATTAATTGGTATAAAAAGGCTTCAGAGTATGGTTCATTAGATGCAAAGAATACTTTAAATAGTAGTCAACAAATTTACCAACATGTAATTACTAAAATCAAATCTATGCGTAATAAATAAAAATATATAGAATAATTAGAATCGTAATTCAGACTCTGTTAAAATAGATGATTTGATTTTTAGTTTCGTAATATGATTATTTGTCAAAATTGTAAAATAAAAAAAAATCTGGACACGCGTGTCTACTTGGCGCAGTAATGTAGCGCAGTAAACTTAAAATTCACGATCAACATTACTAAAATTTAAAATAGACCTCGCAGGAAAAGATCTAATTCGTGCTATTTCGATTTACCAATACTATTTATTAAACAACTTATAGACTTTTGTAAAGCATCAACAGTATATTTTTGAAAAAAATTTGATAAAGTCGAAACTTTATCCATCGCATAATGTAGATAATGCAAATATAAAAAAAAAAAACATGTGATAAGAATGTTGTTTACTGTATAGCACGAAAAAATTAACAAAAGTTTCCTAACTAATTATTTTAAACTTGATGCTCTTTTTGCTTAAAACCTCGGTCCATTATTCTCTGTCTTCTAGAATAGGATTAATTTGGACTTTTAGGGCCCATTGCTCAACATTACGAAGGGTAGAATTCTTTGTCTTGACTGGGAGGTCTTTTTGAGAATCTTTATCTCGAGTCGTGTATTGCTGGTGTTTGAATTTGTCGTATATTTCATCTGATACTGCAAAGTAAAGTTGGAGCTTTGTATTTTTATCATTATATAGATCGGCATCTCATTAATTATTTTGACCAGCTCAGCCTGTTTTATAGGGTGATTTTCAGACACCGTGACTTGTAAGATACTACGAGGCGTTACAAATAGGTCCGCTGCACCGAAATTTTGCTTATCTGGCACGATTACTGTATTTTCTTCAGGATACTTTAAGAGGTCAGATACAATGTTTATATGCCCAACTTTTGGCTCTCCATGAATGAAATTGATCTCTGCCTTCACCTTTCAGCTTCCTTATTTCGAATTTCTGGTTTCCAATACGAAATAGGTGTATAACATAACACTCAAACAAAAATCCTCTAGCACTTGCCAAATAAGGATCCCGCATATATCGTATTTATGTAAGCAATCGACCCATGACGTCTCCTCTAGTTTTTCCTGAATTTTCTCTAACACATCCATCTGTAGTGATATTCGCAATGTGTATCTTCTGGCCATCTGTGGATAATTCGATTGCTAATTTCGACGGGATTTGTTCATTTTCAGTAAAACATTTTATAATTTTATCAAAATTATCGATCTCTAAAATGGCTAATTCAATACGTTTACAAGCTTGTTTCTCAATTTTTTCTAATTGATACCTCAACATTCTGGAGAACGTATCTAGGTATTCCACCTGCTTTGTAGTAAAGATTAATTACTATATCTTTTGGTACCAGTGGAAAAACACGTTGCTGACAAGATAAGATTTCTTCTAATTTCCACGGACCCATATAATATTCAATTGGATGACGCTTCTCATATTCTTGAAAGTCTTTTGTTGCAATTCCATTTGGTGATAAGGAGACAACCGTTATTGCGTGCACTAATTTTGGGGATGTGATACCATCTGCAAGGTACCAAGTTGTGGTTGAATTGAGTAAAAATGAGAAATCACGATAGGTTCCACAGGTTATTGTTAGATCCTTGAAACAAAAGAAATATTGATTGTCGAGAGGTTGAAAAATTACAATGACACCTTCGCATAAAAGTTCGATTTTCTGGAGAGAGAGTTTTATATTAGACTTATTGACTATATATATATGATACAGAATAGACTTTTATTAAACTGCGTTGTAATTCCGATTATCATCAATACATTTATTTTTGACTTAACAATATACACGAATTAAATAATATATAATTTTTTTCCGATGCCACATAAACTTTATTAATAATTTCATATTCAGAAGTGGAAAATATTAGAGAAGCGAATGAAATGTATGATGCTATCAAAGAAGTACGCGGATCCTAGGCCATTTAAATGCGAGTCCCAGCACCAAGTTATACCTTTGCTCCGTAAATCACTATAGCTAATGAAATTATTTTCTCTATCTTCTTTGCTTGAGCATCAGTCACGTGACATTCGAAGTTTATACATTGCAAAACTCGACAATAGAAAAATTTAACTCTGCGTTTTTGATTGATCCAACCAGAAAATACAAGTCCATGATTTATAGGTTTTACAATTAAAAATTGCCATTGATTATTATTCGCAACATTTAAAGTTGTACCTTGTTTTGTGAAACGTTATTCTATTCGCCAAATTTTTTTTTTTTTCATGTTGAATAAAAATTTTTTTACCTTCCTTTTTTAATATAATTACATCCCTATAAACATCTTAATGATTCACGTGCTTTGCTCGTGAGTTCTGCATGTCTTTAAGGGACAAATTTGTCAAAGTTGGTTGTTGTATCACACAAATGCGAGATATGGTTTGTCGATCTTTTTTGAATATGATATAAAGGTTCAAAAAATCAATTTTCTGTGCATAAATTAAAATTTTCTTCAATAAACGTAAATATGGCGAATGAATTGAAAAGATTATTTTTGAAGGTGATGTTTGCAATGTTTTCCATACTACTTTTAGTAGGATTTTATGGATTTATCAAGGGAAACAGATACATTTATTGGGGTGTGATAATTTCATCCATATTAATACTTTTGTCAGGGATTACGGCAATCTTTTGGATAAAACTTTGTAAATTTTGTGCACCAATATTTATAAGAACGTTAATTAAAGTTAGTAATAATTTATCACCGATAGTGAATTATTTAAATAATACGAGAATCATAGGACCGATACTCTCATGGTGTGTTAAAGTAACATTCTTCTTTTGGTTTATTGTCTTATTGTTGGGAGATGCGTTAATTAGAGTCATCTTATCGAGAGCAACGGGAATTCATAAAGAGTCAGGATTTCATTATAGCCCTGTTAATGCTTCCGATATAAACTTTCAACCTTTAGGATTATTTGAGAATGGTGAAGAATTAGAAATGAATAAAAGATTGTACGGTGATTTTTTTCCACATTATAACAAGAAATTGGCATTATCCTTGGCCATGGCATCTAAATTGGCTTATGAAGATGTTCCGATTATCCAATCTGAATTAGAAAAGTCTGGTTATGATATGAATTCATTTAAACCTATAGCTTATAGAAATGTTTGTGGATATATAGCAGAGAAAGATGATAATATTATCTTAGTATTTAGAGGTTCCAATCCATTAAATATTCAAAATTGTTTAACTGATATAAGGGCTCTCCTTTGTAAAATTGAATCATCCACTCGAGGTCCAATGGGTTTGGTACATGAAGGATTCTATGAAGCATTGGGGGAGGATTTAAATGAATCACCTCCTGAATCACAAGCCACCATAGAATTATCAAACGCTTCCTTGGTTAAAACTTTTGAAACCATATTTGGCGCGTTGAAGACGGTGATGTTTTTTGCGCTTCAAAGTATGGTCACTCATATACATGATCCTGTAGATCATAGATATCTCGGCGAAGATGCGAGATTTATTAGCGCATATAGTCAAGCTACAAGATGGATAACCAAGTTATGTAAGGAAGCCGAAGAGGATAATGAGCAAGAAAAAAATAATGATCCCGGAAACGAAAGGTCAAATGATGTTAGACAAAGAAAATCGAAAAAATGCTTGTACATCACAGGACATAGTTTGGGTGGTGGTTTAGCAACTGTATTCTTGGCCAAATTATTTCAACATAATAGTCCATTGCTTAATAATTTTTCTGGTATATATACATATGGTCAACCAAATATAGGAGATAACGATTTCGCGAAAATTTTTGGTCCTGAGATCGGAAAGAAAATGTTTCATCACGCTTATAACAATGGTATTTATTATATTGAAATGTTTATTATTTTTAGGAATAAATTAATAAACTTTACCTCTTTTATTTTTATTTTTATTTTTTTTTTATAACAGATGTGGTTACTAGAGTTCCTATGTGGGCTCCTTATTCCAATCCACCGGGGAATCTAGTGTACATGGATGCTTCATTTTCTATATACATATACCCTCCTGATCCTGTTACAAATCTTCCTATTCCCGTACGTAAAATTTCTTACTTACACCTTTCTGGTATTCTAAATCTTAACGTAATAAGAAGAATGAAAAATGAAAGTTGGCTGAGAATTTTCTTAAGAATCATGTAAGTTAAAAGAAAAAAAAGGACACTTTGTTGAAATCTTAAATAAATTTATGAATTAATTTATTTTAAATTTGTACACATCCAGGTTCCCGTTTTTTATTAATGATCATTTCCCTGGGGATTACGCTCGCGCTATACGTGAAGGTACTTTAGAAAGAGTTATTGTTGGTTTACCAGGTCAAGTTGGTGGTTTCGAAAAGGTATAATCTTATCAATACATGAGATGGGATTTGGACCTTTCATTCTTTTATTTAACAAAAATAATTAGTCACAAAATGTGTTAACAATTTTTCATAATAAACTCACTACACGCATTTAATTTATTTTTAAACATTTTAAAATTTAATGTTACCCAAGGAATGTTAAAGCGTAAAAAAATTTGATTTCTGAACTAATGCAATTATTAAGAACGGTAAAATTTCGCGTATATATTCGGCAAAAAGCATTTTTTTAGAAGGAATTTCTCCGGGAACTGTTTTCTATCAAAAAAAAAAAAAAAAAAAAAATTCTAACTTTGTATTTCTAATTAAAGCCCAATGCTAAATCAGCATTGATATTATTAAATTATTTCTTAATCATCGAAATGATTAAATAAAATCTATGTATAAAATTTACAAATTCCCTCATTATTTATGAAACAAAAATAAAATAAAAAATGTAAAGGTTTGGCGTAACCAGTTAGTTGCGCTAAAATAAGACGTGAAAACGTAATTTATCGGTCACATGACTTTTTAGGGCTAAAACAAATCCATCACTACTGAAATTTCCCCGTTATCAAATATAAGGAGGACGAAATTCTATATTTACAATAACTACCTTATGGGTTGAAATGACCTTAAAATTACCTCAATAACCTCAAATGACATCATTTTTAAGTCAAAGGTCACTAAAATTTACTTTGGCATCAATGTTGGTAGTTATTCGGCTCGAAGTTAAGGATAAGTAATCTATCAGGTATCACGTAATAATTATTCAACCAAATTTAATAATGTAAGTTTATAAATCATAAATTGTTATTAGATTTCATGACTTTAATTTACATTAGGGATTTTTCTAATGTGTTTAGTAAAAGGCAATCAATAAGGTCATTGCAGATTCAAATACAAGCAAGAAAAAAAGAAAAGATAGAAAAACAATTAATAGTATTTTTAATTATAATAATACGGGATACTGGAGAAATACAATTGACGTTAGCGTGGATTCTGATTAATTTTCTTCTATTGTTGCAGGCAGGGAAATAAACATTTCTAGTTAAAGGTGCCACGAATATGATTAAGAACAAGTTCTTTCAAACCCTAATCTAATTCCACTGCCTCCGACCATTATAAACCAAATGTGATAATTGCTCACATTTTTGGATATGTAAAACTTTGATCTTATATTTACTATTAGGCGTAAATTTTGGTACTCCAAGAACATACGTGTATATTATATTCTCTTACATGTTTAATGGTCAAGCTAAATATTAATACGGAAAGTGATCAAACCCGAAAGAATGGTCTGTAGTAATGATTATATTGTACCTATTTATAAAACTTATAATTCTATTAATACTATTCACGAAAGATGAAAAGACGATTATATTATTTTGTATCTATCCATTAATATTCAAGATCGTTTAACTTATACAAGAGTTATTCTATGTTTGGCGCGTTGAAGACGAGGGGATATTAAAAATTGGTCACTCATACATAGCTTGGCTAAGACGCGAGCGCGCCACAAGATGGATATTCAAGATACAGTATGCAACGAGAACAATTATAATAGACAACGAATTGGTAGTGTATTGGAAAATCAATCAACTAAAATTTATTATGTCATATTGTATGTATGATGATCCAAGCTCATTTTTAATAAAAATTGGCGACGTTTTATGAATTCAATTCAATTCTTTTTTTTTTTACAATGAAATTTAAAGTAATACTCCTTTTTTTTCAATTGTATTCGCTAACAATTTTATTAACGTATTGCTTAAAGGTAATTTTTTTTTTTCTTTTTTGAAAAATTCAGGATATGTTGTTAATCTGTGATACGTCTGCCCAAGTATAGGTTAAATCTATTATTGAAACAGGAAAATCTGTTTCAGCGACACCTGTAACATTTAAAAATAATGTTTATTTTCCTGATTGGTCAGGATATTTGTATTCGGCAGATGCAGAAACTATATCACAAACAAATATCTTCCAAAACCATTAGATCCACTAGTGATTTGTCGTTCAACCATCGCAGTGATCCTAATGAAAAATTACTTGGTATTTGGAACCCGTAATTCAAACATCGGAGGAAGTCCTTATATTGTGGCAGTTGACCTCGATGGTGAATTAATTTGGGTTACGTTACTTGATAAACTCAATCTGCCACAATTTTGATGGTCATGTGTATTTAGGAGTTTCTTCATTTGAAGAATTAGCTGCATCACCCGATTATAAATGTTGCTCGTTCGAGGGAGTTTTGCTAAATTAGATCTAAAAACTGGTAAAATCGTTTGGCAAACTTACATGACACCAAATAATTATGGTAGAAATGATTTGTATTCCGGAAACGCGGTTTGGGGCTCTGATCCACCTATTGATCTCGAAAATAATTTGGTTTATATTGCTACTGGGAATAATTATGGTGTAATAATTCGGATTTACGTAATTGCTAAATATTCTTTCTCAAAAAAAAGGAATAATCATTTATTTCTCTTTGAATTTTTAAGGTTCCATTAGATGTGATTATCCTAATAATTATTTTGATGCAATTCTTGCATCAACATGAATACGGGAGAGATAAGATGGTCAAGAAAAACATTTAAAATTTAGAATTTTGAGAAAAAAAAAAAAAAAAAAATGATTTTGGTCAGGCACCCCTATTTTTAGATGTATGTTATGAATATGGTAATTGCATTCAACTTGTCATTGCAACCGCGAAATCTGGAATCACGTGTGCGTTAGATTCTGCAACTGGTGAAATTATATGACTACCAATTCTGGACCTGGTGGTATAGTTGGTAAGTGCAAGGAAGAGAGAATGAAGGAAACTTTTTAAATTCTTTCCTTGATAGGTGGATTTCAATTTGGTTGCAAATTTTATCTTAATTTTTTTTGCAGAACTGATGGAGGAAGATATTTTATATCACAATCTAATAGTGGTAGGAATTCATACCATATAGTTAATCCGCAACATTTGGAGGTGCAATAGTAGCACTTGATGTTAAGACGGGAAGTAATTTTATGGCAAACAGCAAACCCATTCCAAACTTGAGGATCGACTCCAGTATCTTATTCAAATGGTGTAGTTTATTATGAAAGTGGTGATGATAATGGTACGTTATTTGCTATAGATGCCAAAACTGACGTGATTTTATATGAATTTCAAACTATAGGAACTCTTGCTTCTGGTCCAAGTATTGTGAATGGCATCGTTTATATTGGAAATGGTTATGGTAACTATTATTATCGTTTTATTATTTTTTTAACGTGTAACATTTTCATTTATAAAATAAAAAGAAAATTTTGTTCTTATGATGTATATATATATTTTATTTTTTTATTTAGCTCAACATGAAAATAATAAAGTGTATGCTTAACTGATTAAGATTATAAATATACCAATCTTTATTTTGTAAACTTATTTTATTATTATTATTTTTTTTTGTATTATTGTATTATTATTTTTGTATTATTATTATGTTATAGTTGAACTAGGAGAAAAAAATTACTTTTGGGTATTATACAAAATGGTGTTGTGATAAATTTCGCGTAAATAAAATCTTTGGGAGATTTTTTACGTAAATATACGGACTATACATAAGAATTTTACTTGTGGCATTTCACTAAATGTATTATTATTATTATTAAAAAAAAATATATCTGTACATTTAAACTTGGAAAGTTAGATTGAAATTTTCGCTGAAAAAAAAGATCCTAACCAAAGTTGTTTACGAAATCTTTTGATTTGTAGAACATTTTCGACTAGCCGATATGAATTTACAAAAGCATGAAGTGAGCGATCCGAGTGACCATGGGAAGACTATTTAATCATCAAATCCCTGCTTTGTTTCGTAAATAGCTTCCAATCGGGAAATTTCACTGAACTATCACGTATGATATGGAGAAAGTTTACCCAACTGACCATTCCATTTTAAGGTAAACGTTTTAATAATTTCGGCCAGAATTTTCAATTTTCCAAATTTATCATGGCATCATTTTAATAAATCCTTCAGGGTGATTAAATAATTCGTCACAAGATCACTAGATACATCATATGAATAAGGAGACATGAAAAAAATAAAACTATAATTAGTTCAACTAATAATCCACTGAAAAGGTGCTTTTTTGCTATTTTTCCCTTCATCTTTCTTTTTTCGATCCATTCCCATTCCCTTTGTAAAATATATAACAAAAATGGCATATGATGATGACAATATTGGTGATTGCGCATCATCAAGAAGTGATGTCGAATCTCTTTATAATCATATGGTCGACAGAAAAGTTGCTTTAGAAAAGGTTCTCATCTCATTTATGACGTGATTAATATTTTCCAACTTACAATCCCTTAATTTTTTTTTTTTACGCATCTGTCTAATCATAGAAATTAAGAACGACATCGCAAAAATTAGATGCTGTCCAAATCAAGGTATTAAAAATCTTTTTAATTTAGTAAGTGTGTAAGTGTGGAATTTGATTACGAGAATTACTATCGGATCTTTTATTTTAGATAAACCAATTCCGAAGCAAAGTAGAAGTTAATAATATAGAACTGGAGGAGGTTGCCTCATTTATTCTTTGAAATATAAATTTTCGTTGTCATATTGTATATACTTATAAAGCACTTTTGCATAGATGAAGGAAAAATTCTTTGATCATAAGAAGTTGGGATCCAATAAATATTTTGATCCAATTAAAAAATTGGTGTTATCAGGTATAAAAAAAAAAAAGAACATTTATTTGGTCAAAACAAATTTAGACTTAATTATTTCCTTTTTTGGTCATCTAATTAAAAGCTAATCACAAGAGGAAAATGCATTTGACTGTTTTGAAAAAAAAGGATGGCTCTTACTGCGTAAGTTTTGTTTTCAATGTTATTCTAATTTCGTATTTATATGATCCGCTAATTCCCGTATAGATCAAATTTTTGCCAATCATTGGAGTGATTCAAACATTAGATGTTGGCATTTTGAAATTTGCTGTCATCGATTTGAAATCTGATAGCAAACGACCTGTTTATTTTAAAAAGTATATCAAATATGGAATTAACATTCGAGACACAAAGAAATTCACTTTAGGTAAATCTATCATTTTCAATTCTTGATGTTAAAATTTCTTTGATTTAAAAATTTTCATTTTTTTTTTTTTTGAAAGAACAACTTAAGCAATTTACTGAGATGGCGTATAAAGCTTACGTCGATTGGTTGAAACCGATTATTGAAACTGGTACTGTCATGTTTAATTCGGAATTTACTTTGCGAAATAATTTTTTTTTTTTTAATAATATCGTGACTTTTTATTTTAGACGGGTATAGAATGGTTATAGGTTATCGTGATAAGAAATCGGGTAAATTCAAGAGTCTTGAAAATGAGGTTGATAAAAAAATCTATTGTATAATCTAATTCGATAAATAAGAACTATAATAATAATTTGATTATTTAGGAGGGAACGAATGAAGAAGGAAAGAACGATGAAGTAAATATAATGAAAGTGCCCGAGAAGCCAAAAAAATATATTGTAAAATCTAGATTATAATCGAAAACTTTTCATCCAGGTAATTATTTTACTCATCTAAAAAACTTTAATAATTTAGTTGCAATTGTATAAATTATCAATTGATACATAACAAATTTTTATTGTCGGTTAATAAGAAAATATTTCTTTATGGTCATCTTTTACTTCACTATATTCGTTAACTGTAAACTTGTCAATAATGTAATAATTGTTTCAACCATTTTATTAAATTTTATGATAACTTATTAATATTAACAACTTCATTTAACCATAATTGGCTCTATTGCAAAAGTTCCATATAGTTATTATTTTTAAAAAATTTTTTTATATATTTTATGAATCAATAAATATTTTTAATATTTTTTTTTTTAATAATTAAAATATCTTTTTTGTTTTCATTGATATAATACTGATAACTTATTAATGTATATAAAGTACTTATTTTAAAAGCTTTAATACATTAATAACCATTTTTAATTTTAATAAAAATTGAATTATAATTACTTATATATAACTAATAAGATCAAAGATTTTTATAAAAATAAAAATAATATAAATTAAAGATAGTATTTTATTAATTATAATACTTTGTAGTATATGTTATAATTATTTTTTTAATGTTGTAATAATTATAGTATTCATTTTTAATTTAAACGTTAAAAAGTTATTAAGCAATAAAATTCTATTTATATAAAATTCTAAAACATTCTCAATAAATTATTTTAATTAAATGAAATTTTTATATCAATAAAAAATTTTAAAATAATAATTAAAATAAAATATTTAAGTAAAAGTTATTTCTAATCATATATACAGTCAACTCTTGATATAGCGAACTCTTGATATAACGAATTTTTGAACAAATATAATAAAAATACTCTTG